AAGACAACTAAGTTGATGTAAAATTACCTTATTTGGTTTGTGTAGCCTCTTACCTAATGTTGTCCAGCTAACAATTTGATTCATAAGAGGCAGTCCTTGTTTCTTGAGTAGACTACTATGGGTGCTATATACAACATACATGGAAAGCACTGTGCTCAGCATCTGAAAACAAAGACAAAACAGGTTAAAAAAGAAAGAGAGAGAGAGAGAAGATGATGAAAGCTTATACACTAGAAAGAATGCTTAGAAAATGGCTGGAAACACCTGGAATCTGGACAAAATACTATTGAAATTGGACCTGCTAACCTTTTTGTGGCCAAGGCTAAGAGTTAGGACTCTTGTACCAATCAAAGGTCCTCTTTTACAAGCATGAAATGAGGCATTTTATACTTTCAAGAGTGTGTTGGCATCCATCATCGCTCTGTTTCTATTTAGAAGTATTCATTATAAACATCGAAGGTTTCTTAAATCACGAAATGAAGAGGGAGAAATGTACACAGTTTAGTGCCTCCACCTCTGGCCCTCTGCCACGGTAATATCCATTTATTCACTCAACATATTTTTGTGGCTTATTTATCTGGCACTGTGAATACAAGGAGTATAAATACTCTTCAGAGAATATTTATAAACTACGGCAGAAGTTGGCAAACTATAGCTTGTATGCTGGTGGCCTGTTTTTATAAATATTGTTTTATTGGAACTTAGTTACTCCCATTCATTTACATGCTGTCTACCTTTGCACTACAATGGTACAGTTAAAAATCTGCAACCAACTCCATATGACCACCAGCCTAAAATATTTACTATTTGGCTCTTTTAGAGAAATATGCCAAATTATGACTGTGAACAAAGTAAGCTCTCTTAGAGATCAGGTTAGCAGTCTCATTACCAAATCCTACAGATATATTTAATTTACTCATATTTTCAGTGAATTAAGAAGCAAAAATGCTGTCAATAAAGCTATAACAACATCCTAGGATCATTTCAATTATAAGACAGTTTTATTTCAGAGATATTAAAATATGAAAAAAATATGTATTTCGGAACCAATGA